ATATTTCTATTAGTTTTGGATGGTGAGAAAAAGGAAACTCCTGACAGGAACTCGGTTGTGAACCAAAAGCATACTATTGTGATTAAACAGTACTAAACCACTGTACTTGGTTGTTTTATAACAACGATAAATCAGTTATATTTAATATACTAGTTTGAATTACACTGGTAAGCCTCCATGGGGCCCGAAGCACAGATTGATTTCGGGCCCCTTTATTTCTGCAATGACATCTTTTGCTGCAATTAACATTTTGATGATCAGATCATTCACACGCCTATTATAACCTCACTGCAGCTCTGGTAGTACTGTTTACAGTCTCCTATTTGTAACACTGAATAGTAACATTTAAATTTAAATAAACTGCGTTTTAATTAGTCCAAAACATCTTTTAATGGGGATCAGAAAACATCAACACATCACACCACTTCTTGTGTCTCTGCATTGGCTCCCTGGTCCTTTTAGAATAATTTTTAAGATTTTATTGTTTGTATTAAGAGCTTTGAATGAGATGGCTCCTCCATACATTAACAACGTCCTCCAGACTTACTCTCTGGCAAATGCTTTGAGGGCCATCTTCAGCTATCACTGCATTAGACAAGGCTTAAAACCAAAGGGAACTACTTTTCTGTAGTTGGCCCAAGACTTTGGAATAGTTTGCCCCTCTATATACGAAAAGCCTCCAAAGTGGAGCGTTTTAAGTCTTTTAGGACCCACTTTTACTCTTTGGCTTTTAACACTGGATAATAGTGTGGTCCTCTGGGTCCTTTTTATTTAGTTATTTTTGTGTGTTTTTTGTGTGTTTTTTTATGTACAGCACATTGGAAACATTTTTTGTTGTTAAATGTGCTATATAAATAAAGTGGATTGGATTTAAATGTGCTCCTGAAAGTGATAAAATAAACTAGTGTACAGTTTATTTACAGTAAAAGTAACATTTGGTTTATACGTTCAGGTTAAACAATGTGACTGTATTGCAAGAAAGCAAATGAAATATTAGGGCTGCAACAAATGATTATCTTGCCAACTGCTTAATATGTCAATAAATTTTTTTGATTAATCAATTGATAATCGTATATTAAAAGGTTTCTTAAAGATTTTTCACAGAATCAAACCAGGTGAAACTAAATCTTTTTCACTTGAGGAGTGCTGATCCCAGCATATTGACAGACAAACAAGTTCTTATCTTAAATGCAAATTATGTTGGGTTTTTTTTTTTTACGATTCTGTTATCATTGCTGCTCTAAATGGGTCGCACTGTCAGCTAAAGGCATGTTTTAGAACCTCTATTCTCCAGTTAATAATTGATCAATTATTAAATTAGTTCACGATTATTTCAATAATGGATTAATAATGATTAATCTGATTAATTGCCCTTAAAAAAAGGTCAAATTGTACAAGAACAAACACAATTTATTTATAAAGTATGATATCAAGCTTGCTATTAGAGCATTTGCATATAGTAAAATACGTTTATAGTTTTAAGAGTTCATTACTCAACTTTCAGGTAGCTTTTAAATTCCATTATCTATTTAAAACATAAACTGCCTTTACCCAAATTTATAACTTTTATGCTGCACTCTGCTTCCACAAAATTTTGAGTAGAATCTTAGGGGTTTGCCAAATACTAATTCATTTAAAGTATGCGCTCAAAGGTCATTTAAGTTCAAAATGTTTCTTTATTAAACAATCATACTATAAAGTGTAGCTCTTTTTTGATTAATTGAAAATTGAAAAAGGTTTAATGTTTGATATCTGCAGCCCTGCTATATTCATTTACAAATCAAATTACAAATCACCAACAGGGAGTTGTGTTCTTGGGGGCCACCCAGAAGCCCTGGGGGCCATTAGCAGTTGCTTAGTTCGATTTATCTCTGATAATCACACAGTTGATATGCAAGTTCACCTTCAGCCTGAAGGTAAAAAGTTCTGACAGAAGATCAGCTGTTTCTGTAAAATATTTTATACACAAAGTAAAGTTTCTTCTGGACAGTCGTCCAAAAAGTGTCTCTCAGTGATCAAAGCCAGCTTTTTTGAGACAGAGAATTAAATCTTACTCTCCAAGGAAAAGACAAAGACCAAGAACTTCTAAGACCAAAGTCCTAGACAGTTTTTTTTAGAATTATATATATTTTTGGGGGGGTTAATATCCTAATGAAAATAAGTTCTTAAAACGCCTCATTGCCATAATAATCTTACATATGTTGAAAGTAATCAAGATGTGTCTTATAATGATAATAAAAATGTAATATTTTCAAAGATTTTTGTCAAACATCTACATTTGCAAAACAAGGTCTGACCTAGATAGATTTCTTTTTAAATCTGGATTAATCTCACTGTAAAATTTAAATTATTCTAGATTCATCTACATTAAAATCACTCATTTGAATTCTGCCAAAGGCATTCATGTGCTAACTACAGAATTTAAAATCACACGTAATTCCGTCTTCTTACTTAAGCTTTCGAGAAAGTTATAAATACTTTTTTGGTCATTTGTTACTGTGTTTGTGCTGTAAAAAACAGAGTGACCCACATGTATTCTCCTCATGATAGTTCGCCTCGCACGTAGTTTGTAAGTTGGGTTACCTGTGGCCGCCTGGAGAAATAGTTTGAGCCCATCGTTGGCAGCTATCCACTGAGCGAGGAGATTAGTTATCTTGGCTGATAGAGCTGTGCTAATAGCTGCTTCCATGTCAGCACACATTTTTTTCTTATAAATAGTTTATTATCTGATTGTGGCACATGGGGTGATTTGTTTCTAAGAACAATGCATTGGCCGGTTTAATGTTTTAAGGTACTGTTGGCAGAGATAGGGGATCTGGAGTCATCAAGTCATCTCTTTGTCATGTATTTGTTCTGACCAGGTGAGTCCATTCTGCACAGTTAAACCAGATTGGACTCACCTGGTTCACTGGCTGGGTAAAACAAATACATGACAGAGAGATGACTTGTTGACTCCAGATCCCCTATCTCTGACTGTCGGTATATCATGGTATTAAAACCATGATATACCGACAGTGGCGTAAGCTGAAGGAGTTTGCCCTGAAACCAGATGGTTGTCGGTTCAAGCCCCAGCTTTCGGTGTCATTGTGTAATTGGGCAGGACACTTCACCCGCATTGCCTACTGATGGTGGTCAGAAGGCCCGATGGCGCCAGTGTACAGCAGCCTCGCTTCTGTCAGTGAGCCCCAGGGCAGCAGTAGATACAATGTAGCTTTCCACTATCAGTGAGTGAGTGTGTGAGGTAATGGTTGATGTAGTGTAAAGCGCTTTGGTCAAGTCTCCTGACTTGAAAAAGTGACCATGAATAGCTATGGGGCTGCCCCACACTTTTCCTATTTAAACACATTTTAATTTTTCAATTTTCATTTGAATACTTTTGCTACCATAGGAAGGCAAATGGCTTGGTGGTAATTTCACAGTACACCTGCACAGGTTGGAAGACTGATTGGTTCTGGCCCCCATATATACGTCTGCGCTAAAATATCAAGGTGAACATCATCCTTAGTATAGACAAAGCTTCCAACCCAACCGTGAGAATAGATTAACGGCGATTTTTTTTCTTTATCGCCTGATAAGAGCCCGATCCTTGGCCAAGGCCATTAAGGCTAACAGGTTACTCCATAGTCATAATTCTAACCACTAACAGTGGTGTCATATTACAGACGTGTCCACTGAGGAAAACACACCCCTTGGGTTCCAGGTAGTGATGCTTGTTTTATTGGAAAGATGCTTACCTTTTCTCAGCTGCGGATTCATCGAGAGTTGTCCAATGTGCATACTGTACGTTTTTCGATGCCTTTCAGTTACAGACTTTGAAAACCGGAAAGGTTAAAGGAGGGATTGTTTGTCCGTTTCACAGGTAATGAGAAAGATCTTGTGTGACCTATAGTCAGTTGTGAGCTTGTTACAGAGTTTAGTTAAAAAGACGACACTTTCCATCTCCTTTTAAGGTCATAAAATATCTACCTTGCATGGTTTTCTCTCACTAAATGATCTCTAAACACCACCAAGAATTACCTCTAGGCAACTTTTAATTAAAGCTTTTATGTGCAGTGCAATTTTTTGACAGTTCTCTACTTTGTGTTGGAAGTCATAATATCACTCATTATGTCACTCATATTAGTTCTGTTAGTTTGGGCTTATTTTAACAAAGAGAAGAACCCGCCATTTTCTACAGGTTGTGGTCCTAAACATTTTGCAAGACCACATTTTCATTTAGTCCTCATCAAGTATAGCCTTTAGGGTCTGCTTCAATCAGATTTTTCCTTTAAGTTTCTTCCATTTTCCCTTTTATTCACCATTACCCAGTGTTCCTCCATGTCTGTCTTTTTATAATTGGTGTTGTTCCATTTCATATTCCTCATCGATGCGCCACAGCTGTTGTGAAGGGCTCTTCGGATCCTCACTCAGTATTCACTCTCTGTGAAAGCTTGACTCTTGGCACCTAGTGTTGCCATGTGTTGGCCTATCCATGCACTCATATCATTTTCCAAAGCTGGATGTCCATCAACGAGAGGCAAGGTTTGGATTTTGTCCAAAGACAAGTCAGAAGAAAGTAGGGACAGTAGTAATGTACATTGAGCAGAGTTTATTGCAATTATAGCCAGACTAGTAATGATTCTCATTGTCTCTTTTTCTTTAGTAACGTTTTATGTAGGATTTTGTTTGAGCAAGGATCAAAACTTTCATTGTACTTTAAAGCTATAGTATTGGCAAATCTACCTCACTGTCTTTCATACTTCAGTTGTACAATTTTCTTAACTGTTACGTTGTAATCATTCCTGTTCCATAGCAAAAAACAAGGGTTTTTCGTTGTCTTTTAAGTGAGGCATATACAAATTTTCTGTGGTTTCTAAAAGAAGCCTATTTTAAATTTTTCTTGTCATGCCTTCTAACTTCGCTCTGCCATCTCTGCCGCCTTTCAGGTTGTTGGTTATTTCTCCTTTCTGTCATTCAGTTACACAGGACACCTCCTCATGCATTATTAAACATGTTAAAGGCTGAGTTTGAAGTTCTGTATGAGCAGATGCTTTATGTTACATCCTGCTTTGCCTTTAGCCAACCTGCAACAACCTAAAGGGTTATTGGAATTAGAACATTGGTTGCATAATTTTACCTCCACTTCTATGACTGTAGTCTCAGTTCTTTCCGCTCTGGTCCTCACTGGTGCTTAATGTCCCTTCTCCACAAATAGCAACTCATAGAGATTCCCTTCTGGTCATTTCTCCTTTTCAGCTTTTCCATCAGTAACAATCAGATGGAATGATTGCTGTTTAAACCATTCAAACCTAAAAGCAAGATGTAAGGAGGGATGTCAATGACGCCTTGCAATTAAAGATCCCGCCCTGTGTGAGATACTACTCCATTGTAATAGAAAATAATCAAGCCAAATTAAACTGACACAACCCATCCTGTCCATAATATAATAGGTTCTAAAGGAAAAGAGGTATAAAAACACGAAGAAAAGTCTGTAATTTGGAGCTAATTGTCTGATCGCAGCATCATTTATACGCCTTGTCATCGAGGTGGGAGTAAACTAAATACTTCATGATGGGAATAAGCAGAGGTGGTGAAAAAAATGTATAAATACATTGTTTTAAAAGAAAATCTACAAATAGGCTAGAAGCTGTGAACTGTGGAAAGGTCAAGTGGAATGGGAGGGGATGTGGGTATAAATCACAGTTTAGAGTAAAAGTTCCTGGTACATTAAAGAGGTTAAGATAACGCATGGAGCTATTTGGCTGACCTGCATTTAAAAAAGCTTGCTTTGAGACAAACAAGTCGATCTGTAAATTAGCTGGATTGCAGATTCAGCAGGGTGAGATTTTACTCTGGTTTACACACAAAGTTTATAATTTTTTAAAAACCTTTGAACCTCGGTTAGAGTTAGAGCATGGAGTGGTTAGTTAAAATCTTCAACTAGCACATTTTCCAATAAAATAATTTAAAAAATATTATTATTTTCTCTAAAATTGCAGGTTTTTTTTCCATTTTTCTCAGTTTGTTCTATGACGACTTGTTCCTCCTTTCCTCATAATGGTCTTAATAATTTAGGGGAAATATTTTATCATATTAGTCTTCCGTCTGCCAGTGCATATAGATAATGATCTGGATATTTTTGTATTCTTCTACTGACTGATACCTTTTGTTACAATGGCATGTTTTCAGCAGGCCCTTTCTGTAATCGGACATGGGATGGCTGGATGTGCTGGGACGACTCAATACCAGGGACTGCCATTCAGAAGTGTCCATCATACTTTGATGACTTTGACCCTAGTGGTAAGACATTCTGAAGCATTGCATACATGTATCTTTTTTTTTTCTTCGATAATATGGATGCCCTACTTCCTAAAAGCAATAACTAATGGCAAGTATACCTTTTGGCTGTTGAATTTCTCATTATTTTTTACAACAGAAACAGTCACCAAAGTTTGCAATCCTAACGGCCAATGGTTCCATCATCCAGAAAGTAACAGAGTATGGACCAACTACACACTATGCAATACCCTCAAAAAAGAAAAACTAAAGGTAAATATCATCTTCTTCCATCTTGCTTTACTTCTTAGGAAAAACACTTATGTGAATTACAACTACATTTATTGCTGAAAACTGTTAAGTATTTAATCTCCAGGTGTATTCAGTCACTCTCCCCACAAATGCATTAAATGTATTTTTAAATTTTAATTTGTTATTTGAAAAAAAAAAATCCATGAGCACATTTAGGGAGCAATCTGACACGGTTTGTGCACAGTTTTAATCTATGTTAACCTCTAATCTAGCTCATAGCTGAGTAGCTGCAGTGACGAAATGATCTGGCTGCGGAGGTGTCAAGTAACAAAGTAAAAATACTTCTTTACCTTATTTAAGTAGATATTTTGGCTATCTATACTTTACTGGAGTAATTAATTTGTAGACAATGTTTTACTTCTACTCCTTATATTCTAAAAACAGACTCAGTAGTTTTTTTTTTATTCACTAACACTTTAGTTATGGCCTGTTGGTATTAAAATTTAAAAAAAAAAAAAAACATCAAAATAATTTCTTTTATCCAAACAGTTTCTTTGTAGTTGGATTCAGTACTGCAAACACATAGTGAAATAAATAATTTTTCAAGATGATGCTAAGCTAAATTTGACTGTTGCCATTAGTTATAAAACTAAGAAAATTCAGTATAAGGAAGTTATCATCCAGAAAATGTTCCTTTAATAGGGTAGTGCAGTAACAGTTCAATGTTTTAAGCATCGGTACTTACCATTTTTCCTGCATTACTTTTAGTTTTACACATTCAAAGTATAGTGGAGGAATTTCGCGAATTTTTTAAAAGACCAGCCCTCTCTACTTAAAAAAAAAAAAAGTAGATGCACAACCCTGTACCTGCTCCTGAGAGGGAACGCCTAATAAACACGTGCAAGAGCGTGCATAAGCTCATTTCTCCTCGTGCACGCTCTGTTAAAAAGTTACTGTTTGCATTGCTCATTCAAGCTTACTTTCTGAAAGAAGATTTGCAATTTTTCCACTATGTCAGACTCACCACCTTTTTACACCCTACTCCCTACCAAGAATTACCTCTCCTCTCGCACACTGATGAGAAAACGGATTGAAGTATAAATGAAAATGGGAGCTTTTAAACATAGTCTTAATTTTTTCATATTTCTTATGCTTGGATGCCCTAAAATTGAGAGTTTTGGTGGACAGATAAATACAGAGAAATTCCTGCCTGCTGAGAATTACCTCTCCTGTCGCAGAATGATGCAACGGCCTAAACTCTCACATAATGATGATAAAAAGGTTTGAAATATGAATAAAAAAGGCAACTTTTTAAAAAAATTCTTAATGTTCTGTCAGAAAAAAATGTTCATAGCAAAAAATAAAGTTCAAAAGCAGGAAATGCTATCCACTGAGCAGAGAATATATTAATTAGAAACTGACTGTATGACATAGACTAAAACGTGTCTCCATACAAGTAAAAATCGTATTTATTTTCTAATCAGTGTGCGAGAGGGGAGGTAATTCTTGGCATGGGGTTTTGGTGAAAACGGGGACAAGCATATAGGACGGCCTTATGTAAACATATAACCAGAATGATTGAGAATTAGGAGGACCACTTATTTGGATGATCCAACCGGAAAACAAACATCCTCCACTATACCTTTAAGTAGTTTTAAAAATTTTACTTTTACACTTTTACTTTAGTAAAAATGTTAAGTTCTACCTACTACTACTTTTGACACCTCTGCTTCTGTCTCCCTGAACCTCATTCGGCCTCGGCAGACGGCCGCTCACACTGAGCCTGCTGGAGGTTTCTTCCTGTTAAAAGAGAGTTTTTCCTCTCCACTGTCGCTACAAGCATGCTAAGTGTGAGGGATCGCATTCGAGTCAATGAGGCCAGTTTTCCTTAGATAGAAAACTTTGAATCAATTTGACTGTATGATCTGGTTGAACTGTAAAGTGCCTTGAGATGACTTGTGTTGTGAATTGACGCTATTTAAATAAACTGAATTGAATTCAATTGAAACTCAGCCGGGCTGCAAATGCTATTCATGCTGATTTCTTTTAAATAACTGAACTTAGAATCATCTAAAACTTACTGTAGGATTAGATCTGGCAACATGTTGGGTTTATCTCTGAATTAAGTGCCAATAAATACAAATTAAAGCAGTAAAACCAAAGGCCATTTAAATAACACTTTTGTTCATGTGTTGCTTTAGTGTTGTTTTGCTTGCAGTTCTGTGTTATAACTATGATCAAACCTTTTTGTTCTGCAGGTTATACTTAGCCAGTATTACCTGGCTATGGCAGGTCATGGTATTTCCATCATCTCCTTAACAATCAGCTTGTTCATCTTCTCCTATTTAAAGTGAGTCTACAGTTAATTTGTCTTTTAATCTGTGTTTCCTGATTATTTATTTTATTTAGATCTCTCAATAATAATAGCAGAGAAATTCAACCGATTTTAAAGCAAAACAGCAGCATTTAATTTCATTTTTGATGTTTGCAACTGATTTTGTGCTTTTGAAAATATAACCAAAGATGTGCATTCTCCTTCCCTTGTTGCTTTATTCCTTTAGGATCCTTAGCTGTCAGAGAATCTCTCTCCACAAAAACATGTTCATGTCCTTCATTTTCAACTCCGTCTTTACCATGGGATGGCTTTCAATGATGGTTAACGGACGTCATGCCTTAGAAGCCATCAACCCTGTGAGCAGCTAAAATTTCACTACATCTAACTTATTTCTTTGTTTGAGTTACATTATGTAAACTACAGCCAAACAAAATCTTTTTTATAAGATTTTCTATTTTCTTCTTTGTACTAAAATTATAAAAATGTTAAGATTTAATGTCTTCTGCTCATGAAAAACTTAGATTATTTTATATATCATCAGGTTGGCTGCAAGATTCTGGCTACGTTGGTTCAGTACACGTCTACTTCCAACTACCTGTGGATGCTGTGTGAGGGCATCTATCTCCACACACTCATCATAGTGGCTGTCTTTGTTGGAGAACAGCAGCTTTTTTGGTACTATGTCCTGGGATGGGGTGAGTCAGATACATTCCTTTGGACCACTACTTACAAAACCTACTTGATTTCGGGGTGAACAATGATTATTTTAACAGGCGACTAATCTATTAATTATGTTTTCAATTTGGTAAATAGTCACAATATTTTTTTATAATAATCCTAATATTTTTAAGTGGATAATGACAATTCAGTGCTTCTACAAATATTTTAACTCAGTCGTTCCAGCAGAAGGTCTGATTGCATCGCTGGAGGGGCTGGAAGGTTTACTGGATCTGTCTTGAGGCCAACTGTTGGACTCACCAAAGTCCTTCCAAGCAGGATTTTTTTGTCTTGGCTCTCAGCTGCCTCGGGAGTCTCACAACCCAGCCAGGCTCAATTGGACGCCATCAGCTTTATCCTGCATTCACACTGACCGTATGTTGGGCATCAAAAAGGCATCCAAATCTTATCTTGGGTTCTTGTGTACTTTGAAGTCAGATGCACATCTTTGAAGTATTTTGCTTTTTTTGACTACCTTACCGACTGCCCCTGATTCTCAAAACACGTTCGGTGTGAACACAGCATAACAGCATCGGTTACTACTCACATCGCCTTACTGTCATGTTAAATTTGCAGATAACTTAGCTAAACCTCACAAACGCTCTCTGAGACTCACCTTTCACTGCCTTACCTAGTTATAAACCGTTGCTCCACAGTCTTTGTTGTGGCTGTGTTTTATTTTCTTTGACGAAAGTTTCCATCCAATCTTCTATTATAATCCTTTACTAGTTTGGTTTTAACAGCATTGTGTGCAGCTTGGTCATGATGTGGGACGCTGGCAAAGCTCTGTGACAATGACTGCAGCTCTGCTGTCCTCCCATTTAGAAAGGGCGCCTGTAAACATGTATTTTATTTTTTATTTCTCATTTGACAGTCAAATGCGGGACATTGATTTGGTTTGTGGGATTGTGGATGACTGTGACTGATTTTGATGACAGGCAAAAATGCTAGACTGTCCCAACACCGGTCGGGATGTGGAAAAACATCATGTTCTTCAGGAAGTTGGTGAAGTTGAGTTTGAATACTTGTCAGGCTCAGAACAAAAGGACCCAGTGTTCAAGGTGGAAAGACAGTTAGATTTAATAAAACCTTTATTTAAGACGAAACTGCAAATAACGGCATTGGCGTCTAAGGCAGGAACCTCTGTGGAAGGAGACAACAGGTTAGTTACCACGTCTATCTGGCAGAGGATGATAATGAAGATGAGAGACACTAACTTGGTCTTAGTACGTGTCCAGAGGATGAGGTTGGTTCCAGGCGGTCGACTACCAGCGAGACATGGCGGCCGCCCCCCAGAGAGCCTCAGTTGTGGTCTCTCAAAGGTCTGGGATGAGTACGAGATCAAAACCAAGCAGACGAAGGAAGGCAGGATATTCCAGAGGTTGAAGCTAAAGCAAGACATGCTTGGTAGACAGAGCCAGAAGATCAGAGGTCTGAAGAGTTACCGAAGGGAAATGCAGAACGGTGTTCAGAATCAGCTCCAGGTTCAGTACACAGGGAAGCAGAGATCCGGTAGCAGTCAAAATAAAGGTAAGGGAAACAGATCATAACAGGAACAGGCAGTAGTCAAGAGGCAGAACGGGTTGGGATCAGGCGATCAGAAAACACAGGTACGTTAGAGAACTCTCATCAAAGGCTCAAATAATCTGGCACTGATAACTGGTTGAAGGCTGCTTAAATAGGGACTGGAGCAGGTGAATCAGATGAGCGGTAATGAGAGATAGACAGGTGAGTGAAATGAGTAATTAGACCAGACATCAGCATCAAGCTCATGACAATACTCTGATATTTACTGAACAACAGACTGGACTGAAAGTGCAGCAGTGGAGCTTGTTGATCTTTACTCTGTGGAAAGCACATTCTGTTTATAATCATCTGAAAAATCAGAGCCAGTAACTAAAAAGCTGCTTAAGTGTTCTGGTTGGTTTCTTGGGAGTCCCGGACCCTATTTCCACCCTTTCACTCATTCTCCTTGGCATGTTCTCAAAGGAAGTGCTGTCCAAATACTCCTAAAAAGCTTTTCAAGCATAATTTCATAAATGTTTTTATGATGCAGGCAAGCACTAAACGTCACACCTGATTCAACCCTTTCTATTTTTCTGTTTAATGAGTGTAACTATCTTAAGACAGATAGTTTAGATCACAGGTGTCAAACTGGTTCCAGAAAGGGCCGTGTGGCTGCAGGTTGTCTTTCCAACCAAACAGTAGCACAACAGACTCCATTCTTATTATCAAGTCATCATGTTCAAATTGGACTCCCTTGATGAGTTGACTGGAGTCTGGTGTGCTATTGCTTGGTTGGAAAGAAAACCTGCAGCCACACGGCCCTTTCTGGAACCAGTTTGACACCCCTGGTTTAGATGCTACAGATTTTACTGTGAGAAAAATCTGATATACTCCAGTTTGGTTAAACAATTAAACCTTAAAACCACTCCATTAACTAAGCCTCTGAGAGTCTCGGCCCTTGACGGTAAACAATTACCTCAGGTCACACACCAAACCAAGCCGTTAGAACTTTTGATCTCTGGTAACCACAGAGAGACCATCTCTTTTTTTGTATTTCCATCAGCCAGCTCATCCATAGTCCTTGGATTCGAGTGGCTTCAACATCATAATCCACACATAAACTGGTCTAAGAAACATGTTGAGTCCTGGTCTGCATCCTGCCACTTAACCTGTCTCTGCTCCGCCGCACCTCCGACTGAGTCTCCGGCCAGTCGCCAGGAGGCTGACTCGCCTGATCTTTCCTTAGTACCTCCTGACTACCACGACCTGGCACCAGTTTTCAGCACTTTCTCTCCCTCTGCATAGACCTTATGACTGTGCAATTGATCTTCTACCAGGGGCCCCTCTCCCTAGTAGTCAGCTCTATAATATCTCCAAGCCCGAGAGGGAGACCATGGAGAATTACATTAATGAGTCTTTAGCCGCCGGTATAATTCGACCTTCCTCATCTCCTCTCGGTGCCGGATTCTTCTTTGTTGGTTAGAAGGACGGATCTCTGTGACCCTGTATCGATTACAGAGGTCTAAAGCAGATTACAGTCAAAAACAAATACCCATTACCCTTGCTAGCATCAGCCTTTGAACCCGTCCAAGGAGCTACTGTGTTCACTAAGTTGGACTTGAGAAACGCCTATCATCTCCTCAGAATCAGAGAGGGACATGAATGGAAGACTGCATTCAAGACTCCTCTAGGTCAATTTGAGTATCTTTAATGCCTTTTGGTTTAACTAACGCTCCTGCTTGTTTTCAGGCCATGGTTACCGATGTTCTGAGAGATTTTTTAAACATATTCGTTTTTGTCTACATTGATGACATTCTGATCTACTCCAAAGACATCTCTGAACACAAGAAGCATGTCCGTTTGGTTCTTCAAAGACTCCTTGAAAACAAGCTATTTGTTAAAGCTGAAAAATGTGAGTTTCATCGTCCATCTGTCTCCTTCCTAGGATTTGTGCTCAAGGGCGGGCAGGTGAAGCCGTCTGAGGACAAGATCAAGGCGGTTCTGGACTGGCCCACGCCCGAGAACCGAAGACAACTACAAAGATTTCTGGGGTTTGCAAACTTCTATCGGAGGTTTATTCGCAACTACAGCCAGACAGCTCAGCCTCTGACTGCCTTAACTTCTGTTAAAAGGACATTTCACTGGTCTGCGGAGGCTGAGGCTGCCTTTAATAAACTCAAGGCTCTGTTTTCTAATTTCAAGTATCTGATTCTGACCAAAGAACTCATCCATGCTCGTTTCTCTCCCGTAGACTTTCGCCTACAGAGCAGAATTACGACCTCGGAGACAGAGAACTCCTCGCAATTAAACTGCCTCTGGAATCCCGTTCTGGTATAGACAGATCACAAAAACTTATCTTACATTCAGTCTGCTAAGAGATCTAATCCCTGTCAGTCCCGTTGGTCCCTGTTCTTCTCAAGATTCAATCTGATTATTTCCTACCGGCCTGGTTCCAAGAACATTAAACCTGATGCTCTTTCACGCCTGTATTCTCCTGACAAACCTGAAACTCCTGATTCTATTCTCCCTGCCAGCTGTACTGTGGCAACAGTCTCATGGGAAATTTCTGATCAGATAAAGCTGGCCCAAGTCTCTGAACCCGATCCTGGTAACGGCCCACCTAACAGAACCAATGTTCCTTCCTCAGTTAGATCCCGTCTCATCCACTAGATGCACTCTTCTAAATTTTCAGCTAATCCCGGTGTAAGCAGAACCATAGCTCTGATCTCTCGCCGTTTCTGGTGGCCATCCCTTCATAAGGACACAAAGGAGTATGTCCTAGCCTGTCCCGTCTGCGCTCGCAACAAACCATCACATCAACCTCCCTCTGGTCTTCTCCATCCACTACCTGTTCCATCTCGCCCCTGGTCCCACATCGCAGTGGATTTTGTAACCGGATTGTCTGCATCCCGAGGTATGACCACCATCCT